CGACGAACGACGACGACGAACGACACACACACACACACACACACACACACACACACACGCACACACACACACACGCACGCACACACCATCCGACCTTGAGGGCTTCCTGGCTGAAGAACGACTGCAGCGGCATGCACAACTTCTTGGCCATGCGGTAGTTTGCAAGAATGCGGGCAACGCAGGCCGAAGCGAGCGTTGCAGCCGACACCAATGCCTGCAGGCAATGCTCCACGTCGCCCTCCTTGAAGCTCAGCCCCAAGTGCTCTTCTGCAAGCGGATGCGCCTCATCCGGGGTCCACGTTTCCTGTTCCGGAGCGAAAACAAGCATTACATATCATGGTTCACACCACGTGAGTTAAGTCGCACTTGTGATTAACTCGGAAATCGAAACACATACGCAGACACACAAACAGACAAACAGACAAGGCAGACAGATGCACACACTCACACACACCCACACACACCCACAAACCCACCCACACCCACACCCACACACCCACACACACCCACACACACACACAGACAGACAGACAGACACACACACACACACACACACAAACACGCAACATAACATATCCCCCGATCCTCAACCCCACTTCGGCGCCACTGACCCATGCGAGGTAGACACTGAGCTGAGCGGCGACAATGGCCGGGTGGTAGAAGTTGAAGAGCATGCACAGGTGTGCTGCACGACCAACACTGCCCCGCCGCAACAGTACCTGCAGGAACAAGTGGAACGCGCGCTCTTGTGACTCTGGCACCCGAGCCACCGCCTCGTCCTCATCGTCATCTTCATCGTAGCCGTTGGATGAGCGAGCGAGCAGACGCGACGGGCACTTGAAGTGTGCAGGGTTCTTGTCTGCCTGCGCCTCTTCGCCACGCCACCCGCGCTTGCCAATCGTCTCGTTCTCGTCAATTGGCACAATCGGTGGCTCCCCGCTCGTGTTGTTGATGACATATGTCTGCACCTCCAGGCGCCGCTGCCACAGCATCACCTCAATGGACCGGAGCGCTGATCGCATCTTGTGGTGCGAGCGTGGCAGCAGCGTCAGCCCCGTGTCGAGCAGCAGGGCCTCGTCCGCCGCCTTTGTGATGCCGCTCACGCGCGTCGCGTACGGGAGGTGCGGCTCAGCAACGCCAAAGGCAGCCGACACGAGGCTCACAAAGAAGAGGGCTTTGGTGCGCGCATCAACGCTGTGTCGCTCAAAGTGATGCAGGCACTCCGTTACAATGGCACGCGACAGGCTGTCATCACGCTTGTTCTCCTCGTGGACAGACCCCGTCTTGATGTCAACCTCCTTCTTCGCAATCTCGTACGCCTGCGCCACGTCAACAGCGGCCGTGCCCAGACCAGCGCGGATCGCGCGTGCGCGTGCATCGACAAAGTCACCAGCAGCAATGGCCTCCCGCACAGCCGCATCCGCTGTGCGCGGCGATGATGGCTTGTCCGTGTCTGCCCCGTCTTGCTGGTTCGGGTGCACGCGCTTGTGCAGGTGCTGGTCGGCGATTGGGAAATTGCTTGCACGCAACGCCGCCGCCAGGATCTCACGCGCGCGCAGAGATGTGGGGGTGCTGTGGCGCGTGGTGCGTTGTGCGTTGTGTTGACACGCGTAGGCGGGTGAGACAGAGGTGAGAGAGAGTGTGTGTGCGTGTGTGTGTGTATGCGTGTGTGCGTGTGTGTGCGTGGGTATGCGTGTGTAAGTGCATGTGCGTGTGTGTCGATGTGTACAGCGCTGATGTTGGGGCTGTCATTGTACAGAAGCACGTTCGTTCAGGCTGCGAAGCAAGACACCAGCACATGGCCCGCCCTTCTTCCCTTGCTCCCCTCTCGTCCTCATTTCAACGCACTGCTTGAAGAACGCGAGGAAGAGGGCATCCCACGTCCCCTTGGTGGTGCCGGCTTTCACCTCCTCATGCAAGACGGCTGTGGCACTCCGCTCAGCGTGCTTGTGGGCAAGGTCGATGGCCTTCACCACAGGCTTGAACGCCTGCTCTGCAAATAGGCCGAGCGCATCCTGTGGAATCGAGATGGTGGAAAGGGGTGCGGGGTGGGGTCAGCACGACGCGTGAGCGGCGGTGTAAGCGGGTGAATGTGTTGGCAAGCAGGCAAGAATGCGAAGAATCCTTGGCCGAAACACATCCGTACACGTACACAAGGGTAGACACAAGGACAGACACACACATACACAGACACACAGACACACAGACACACACACAAACACACAAACACGCACGCACGCACACACACACACAAACACACACACACACACACACAAAAACACGCAAGCACAGAGACACAGAGACGTACAACACACAAACACAGGGCACATGCCTGCAAAGGATTGAGGAATCCAAGCCTGATATAGAGGACAATGGCTTCCTTGCAGAGTGAGAAGCCACGCTCGCTGTCGATGTGAAGGTGGCACACACCGTTTGCTTCGCACACAATGTCGGCCTCAATGCTCGCCAGCTGCGCACTGAGCGGCACGTGCCCGATACTGTGCAGCTTTGTCAACAGCCAGACCAGCAGGCACGTGTACGTGAGGTTGCTGCCGTAGCACGTGGCGAGCAGCGCCATTGTCGGGCACCGCTGACGAAACGCGAGGGCAAGGAGGACTTCGGGGATGGACGCAGAGCACGACTGGGTTGCGTCACGTGCGAGCTGAAGAAAGTCGACGAGGTGGAGGCCGTTGCCTGCATCGTCGCTGGCACCGTCAGGGATGGTGTAATGCGGGTGTGCAACCATTGTCTGCGCGGCGGCAGTCGTGGGTGTGTCGGGCTGGGTGTGTACCACCTTGTACAGCATGGCACGCACGTGCTCCTTTGTTGTCCCGGCATTCATTTGCTGCTGCACCACGTCAATCACCTGAGAGGGCAACAACGACAACACAGCGATGCGTATGAAACCCAAGCAAATGGTGGAGAATGTAAGCTGGTAGAGAGGGTGGTGTTCGGTGTTGGTGACAGTTGATGTTGGTAATGTTGGCCTTGATGTGAACAAGGAAAGCAACACCACGCCGTGACCACGCATTGCCCGTCCACACAAAATACACTGCACACGCACGTGCTGTGGCTGAACAGAGTAGAACTGCGCGTATGCAGTGAGGAACAGCCACTGGTTGTCCGCATCCACATATCCAAGGAAGTCGGGCCTGGAAGAGGACGCGTGTGCGTTGTGTGTGCGTTGTGTGTGCGTATATGAGTGTGTCGAAAGGGGTCAACCATGTCTTATGCACTTGCAGTACGACTGCAATTGCGTCATGCACTCGTGCGCGGTGGTCTGTGTGCGCGCGCGTGCATGTAACACTGTGTGCAGACCAGACTGCGATGTAAAACGTACACAAAGACGACGCCGTGTCTGCGTGCAATCATCAGCACCAGATCCCAGGTCTCAATCACATCTGCGGGCGTCTGAATCGACGACGACGATGGGGATGACAGTGATGATGGTGATGATGAGAGGTCTGGCTCGTACACCCGGTGTCCGCCGCGCTTGCTCTCCAAGATGATCTGCGTGGCGCGAGAGAGTGCAGCGAGGTACTGCCCGGCGCGGTGGCGGTGCACTGTGGAGTAGGGATGGGGGACACGAAGAGGAAGGATGGATGGGTGGCTTGAGCGATGGCGCTTCGAGAGGCAAGGGGGGGGGGAGGGGGGGGCGAGGGAACATGGTTTCACATTGAGCCAACACGAATCAGAGCACCCACTGTGTCTCACGTTGTGTGTCTGTGTTGTGTGCGAGCCATTCTCGAAAGAGACTTGTCATGAGCGAGGACTGGTCCTGGGAAAGGACATTGCTGCTGCCGATGCTGTTGCAGTGGACAATAGGAACAAAAGGGTAAGAGGGTGCCAACGGAGGTGAAAGTTGCATTGGAACCCTGGCACAAGGTTTGAACATGCTGCAACAAGCAAAGCCACACCCATATATGTGTTGCCTGCAGGCATACCTGCTCGTCTTATGGCTTGTTCTTGTCTGGATCAGGCGCTGGGCGGCTTGTACGTCTTGCCGGAGATATGTGGCAACATCCTTGACACGAAGTGCACGCGATCATGATCGTGGTGTAGGTTGGTGTCAACACAGGCACAAACACACACACACACACACACACACACATAGAGGCAGTGAAGTCACACGTCACCAGGAATACACAAGGTTACACAGGCATGTGAACATATTGAACACAGACATGTTGCAAAATGTTCACCTCGCGCTCGAGCCGACTCAGGAAGGACAGCGCCGCGCTGAAACCAAAACATGAAAGCGTGGAGGAGGATGTGGGTCACATGGTGATGTTGGGGAAAAGGGAAAGGGTGGTCGTGATGCATGCTAGGATCCTGTGTACACCACACACGTGGTGTGTTTGTACCACAAAGAGCACACACACACACACACACACACACACACACACACACACACACACACACACACACACGCAGACACGCATCGACACAAACACACAAACAAGTCAAGAAACACGCAAAAAACAAAAAACAAATGTAAAGTCTGCAAAGGAAGCGGTGACTTACGCAACACAAGGCAGGTGCATCGGCCGTGTCATGACAGCTGCGTAGATGCGCGTGGTCGCGTCTGGCGTGAGGTGCCCCCTCTCCTCACGATCAAACAGTTGCATTGCAAATAGCGGGCGCCCTTGCTCGATGTAGAACACAAAGTCGAGGCTGTCTTCCAGCGCATGTGACCGCAGTTCCGGGGAATCAAACGCAGGCAGCGCCCTGCGCACGAACCAATGGCGTGCACCACCACTGATACTGCTGTTGCTATTGTTGCTGTTGACGTCGTCCTGGCTGACGACACGGTCGGTTGTGTGCGCGGGTGTTCGCGCGAGCCAGGCAAACACGGCGCGTGCATGTGTGCCCGTTGCATTTTGTAGCAACTTGAGGAGCAGGTCACCGTCGGCCGGCGTTGGTGTTGTTGGATTCATGGCGCGCAACAGCAGCTGCACATCCTCAGCACCTGGGAATGATTTTTTGTATGGCAGCACGTGCATTCAAGTCTATGGATGAGACAAAGTTGATGAAGAGAATACTGCGACACAAGTACAATACCGTTGACACAGATGGATGCACAAACACACACCCCAAGTCATGCACACCCCAAGTCACACACACCCACACATACACACCCACATCCACATCCACATCCACATCCACACACACGCACACACACCCACCCACACACCCACGCATGCAAGGCACACACACGCACACACACACACACGCGCGCGCGCGCGCACGCACATACACACACACACACACACACACACACACACACACACACACACACACACACAGTAACAGGCAATTGCTTCATGGCGCAACACAGCACCGCACCTTCTGCCGCCTGCAGGGCGCCGGGATCAAAGGCGGAAAGCATGAGCAGCGATGGCAGGCAGTTGTTACGCATCAGCCGGTGACACAATTCAGGTGTCGTCTCTGGCTCGTCCACATCCTCGTCAAAGACGGGTGCGGGCGCGTGTGTGCTGATGGTTTCGTTGGCCGGCGTTGTTGGTGCTGCAGGGGTGCCCGAATTGGAGGCAGCAGCAGCAGCTTTGGCGCTGATGATGAAGAAGTCGAAGATGAAGCGTGAGGAGAGACGTCGCAACAGCAATGGAGGAGAGGGGGGTTCAGGATCTCATGAAAACACACATAAAAACGCGGTGCTCGTGCACACAGACACACACAGACACATACAGACACACAGGCACACACACAGAGACACACACACACACACAGACACACACACAGACACACACACAGACAGACAGACAGACAGACAGACAGACAGACACACACACACACACACACACACACACGAAAGAGGCGCGCACCTGAGCTGGACCTGCAAGTAACGTGTCATGTCCTCTGCTGAGTTGAGATCAATGAAGTTGACGCCCTCAAGCGGGGAATTGCGCTCCCACCGCCACCCGTTCGTCCGAGACAGCAGCAGCGCAAGCAACTATGAGGTGCATCCGTGGTAGTGAGCGGAGGTGGTGGTGGATGGCGTGAGGGTGAGACAAGGCGGCGAGTGCAACAGCAGCATGGGATAAATGCAATGGCAGCATGGCAGCATGGGGCTGGGGTGATGGGCGTATTGTTGCGCCGTTGTATCAACGAGCGTGAACATGGTGAAATGCACAACACACCTGGAAGTTGTTGTCTGTGACGACTGCAGCGATGTGCCGCTTCACTGCATCCAGCGCTGTTGCCGGCAACACCGTGGATAGGCGCCTGTGTGTCAAACAACATGCATGAATGCACGCAAGCGACGGGAGCACGTGTGCGACGAGGGCATGTGTACGATGAACAACGTCAACGCAAGTGATGAGCGATAGGACTGCGGGATGACAACATCTGCAGGCGCAGACACATGAACATTGCTGCATTTAAGCTCGCTGTCCCTCACGGCATTGACCACCAGACAAGAATATACCAGGCAACACCACCCCGACCACGCACGTGTCTGCCAGGACGTTGCCGCTTCTCCAGATCTGTCGCGTGAGTGTGCGCACGTCACGATCAGATGCGAGCGTGTATGCGAGGCCAAACAGGCCGGCGCCGTGGAAGCCCTTCTCCGCTTGCAGACCTACATGACGTCACATGCGGGAGAGGGCGTTGTGAGTAAAGTGAGGGAGATGAATCGTTCGTGCGTTTCCTGTTAAATCTGTCAACGACACAAACACACACGCATACACATAGCCACACACACACACACACACACACACACACACACATACATACGCCACACACACACACACACATACGTACAAACACACACACAAACATACAAACACACACACAAACACACAGACACACAAACACACATACGCACACAGACAGGTAGACAGACAGACAGACACAAACACACACACTCACGTGAGTATGTGTCCATGCCGTCAAGAAGCGACGTGATGTCGTCTTCTGTCACCTCGTGCGCCTCACACGCGGCACGGAGCGGCGCTGTGAAGAAGGCAAACCGCTCGTGCCTGCAGGCATCGCGCACCACCCGCCAGTAGGACAGCATCGTGTCCGTGTCCACCTCCCCCAGTGCAAGCACCTGGTGCGACGTCAGTAGCGCCTCGGCTCGCAGGCGATCGACGCCATCATCGGACATGCGGTCCAGAAAGTCGAGGCGGACTTGACTGTACAGTGGCGATTGCACGGACGCAGCGGCAGATGGAGGCAGGTCATCATCGCCAGCGCTCCACCACTCGGCATCCGGCTCTGTGTCTGTCAGCGTGCGCAGGCGAAACTCAAACCTGGCGGAAGCAGCGTTGGCGGCGGCGTTGCTGCTGTTGTCGTTGCTGTTGGCGTCGAGTTTGTCTTTGGCGCCAGTGGCTTTGTCACCAGTGGCTGGGGTGCGCTCCCGTTGTGCCGTTGAGGCAGCAAGCATTGACGCAAAGTGCAGCACAAACAGCAGCTGTGGCAGTTCCTGCTGCTTCCTGCGTTGTACCCCCGCCACCTCTGTGCTCGCACACGGATACATCGCCTCAATGTCCCGCGCAATTGCCATCGTCGCCTCCTGTTGCCCACAGACAGCGATGTGGTCGCAGTGGTTGACGTGCGTGTGTGTGTAAGTGTGTGAGTGCGTGTGAGTGCGTGTGAGTGCGTGTGTGTGAATGTGTGAATGTGAGTGCGTGTGAATGTGTGCGTGCGTCTGTGCGTGTCCATGTGTGCGAGTCTTTGTGTGTTTGCATACAAATCTGAACACAGAAGAAAAATACGGGTGTAGCCGTGTCGGGCTTGCATCGTTCACATCAAGCAGTGTCACCGACCAAGGCCAGTGTCTCGTGTGGGGCGTTGTCAACAAGTTGCTGCCACAATCGTTCCCGCACGTCGCTTTCGAGTGTCGTGCGCACAATCTCAGCAAAACACCCATACGGCTCCTGCGCAAGGTGACGGACAGGATACATGATGCGTGAGCGTCAGGTAATATGATTACAGGTACAGGGCAACAGATACACAACTTGTTGCACAGACACAGACACAGACACAGACACACAGACACAAACATGCACACACACACACACAGACACAGACACACACACACGCAAGCACACGCACGCATACGCAAGCACACGCACGCATACGCACGCACACAACCGCAGACGTACAATGCCAGCGCTGCTGAGGTAGGTGGCTGCAAGCTGCGTGTGTGCGCGGCGGACGGCGGCGTACGCGGCAGCGAGGGCGTGGTGCTGTGTGTTGGCGATGCTGTGCAGGGCGGGATCAAGCCTGTTGGCAGCAAGGTAGACCTGCGCATGAAGCAGCCGGTTGCACTTGAGCGCATGCGCAATGATGGCGGCAGGATCCGCCTGGTGGAAGAGATGAAGGGTAGAGAGGGGGTGATGGAGGAGAAGGAAGTTGAGGTGCGGGCGGAAAGCGGGGGGGGGGGGCAACGTGAGTTTGGGTATTGGGCACAGGGGTGGAGGCAGGCATTGCGGCTGAACGTGAAGGATTGGAGAATGGGTTGGCGCGGGGTACGGGGGAAAGCAGATACAGCAAGATGCACAGGTGGAACACAGCAATTCTACTGTGTGTGTATGTGTGTGTGTGTGTGTGTGTGTGTGTGTGTGTGTGTGATGCGGACGGACCAAGTCCTCCCACGTGTCGACGAGGGTCTTCGGGATGGAGGAGAGGTCGTCCCGGGTAAAGTGTGGTCGCAGACACATGACCGCCCTGTCAGCAGACAGCTGGACATTGCAGTCATGGTGGTGATGATGATGATGATGAGGCGGAGGCAGGTGTTAATGTTGTTAGGAGGAATGTGGGTCCAAACTGGCACACGCGATTCAAATGCATCCACGACTGTATCTGACAAGCACAGGAAGCAATATAAGTGCAAGCATGTACACAGACAGGCACAGGGATGCATACCTGCGTGCTGAGGAGGCACGTTGGTGGTTGTTCACCGGCCTGCTGTCCTGGAGTGGGCGTGGTCTCCTCATCTTCACCGGCTCGAGCGTCCTCTTCTCCACCGCCACCGCCACCGCTAACGTCAGCAGCACCTTCAGCGAGCGGGAGGATGCGGCGAAGGCGTGCCATGAATGACGACAGCTGCACCAGGATTGCGTCACGCGGCGTCGCAGCAAACATCTTTGGCGTTGCATGTAGGAGACACCACAGAACGCAGGATGAGTGAATTTTGGAGACACGAAGTACGTGTGTGCGTGCGTGCGTGTGTGTGGATGCGTGTGTGTGGATGCATGTGTGTGCGTGTGTGCGTGCGCGCGCGTGTGTGTGCGTGTGTGCGTGCTTGTGTGCGTGTGTGTGGTGTGCGATTGGGATGCAGCACACGTGCGTGGTTGCGATTGTGATTGTGGATGCTTGCAGGCAACGGCACCGCACCTCGAGTTTCCGTGCGATGAACCTGGTGGTGAGGTGCATGAGCTTGATGGGGAAGTCGAGGTAGTCGCGGAACTGCCATGTCTCGGAAACGGCGTCCACCAACATCTCGCACGCGCTTGCTAGCTGGTCCTGAGGGTTGGCAGCCGTGGTGGTGGTGGTGAGGTGGTGGTGGTGGTGATGGTGGTGATGGTGGTGGCATTGGCAGGAACAACAGTGGTGGGGAGTGTTGGGATTGGTGAGTTCATGTTGTTCACGTTGAGAGGTAGTGATGGTGATGACGCCAGTCACTCCAGATAAACCGCCACGCACGCGCCGCACGCCGCACCGACCTTTGTGAGTGTTTTGAGGACTTCCTTGACAAGCTCAATCTGCCTGTACTTGAGGCTGGTCTCCAGCTGGCTCGTGTAGCAGTTGTTGCTCTGGTGGTGCCGGGTGGTAAGCGATAATTGGTGAGTGGCGCGTTCATGGATGGTGGACAAGTCAGAAAAAATACGCGCAAACACAAAACACAAAATCAACGGAGCCGCAGCGTCAAACAGCTAACGCACACACACAACACACACAAACACAGACACAGCACACACGCACACACAACACACACGCACACAAACACAGGCACAGGCACAGGCACAGGCACAGACACACATCAAGCGACCACGGACCCATCCGTTTTGGCTGCAGAGGAGCTGTGCAACGTCGTTCCTGCCGAGCATGGTGAGCTGGTCCAACAGCTGCTGTTGGCTCAGGTCAAGGACAAGCGTCGTCAGCCCGCGCGGACCAACCAGCAGCAGCGGCTGCAACGAGGAGGTGGTGTGGGGGGGGGGAGTGGTTGCGGTGAGAACACAGCTGCATGCAGTAGACAACAGCAACACTCACACACAGACACACAGACACAGACACAGACACAGACACGCACACACGCACACACACACACACACACACACGCGCGCGCGCATGAATACACACACACACACACAGACACACAGACACACACACACACTTACATTGGAGTTTGCGACGTGCGTGGAAGGCGGGAGAACGACGGTGGTGAGCGATTGCAGCGTCACGACGTCAACAATCGTGATGCTGAGGGTATGCTGTACACCGCTCGCAATCACCGTTGCGCGCCGGTTGCGCACGTGCACGTGTGTGGCAGCTGTGCCCTGGCTACGCAGCAGGTGTGCAAACGGGTGCGGGCGCGGTGGTGGCGGCAGATGGGAGGCAGCCGTGATGAAGCTGGCTGCTGTTGCGTTGAGTGCATCAAGCACAGATGCATTGTACTGCGCCTCGCCCACCGACACATCCGCACCACCATCACGGTGGCCGTCGTGGTCGTGGTCGTGGTCGTGCTGGTTGGCGGCAGCTGCCCAGTGTCGCGTTTCATCGCCACGCATGGTCCCGTGTGTGAAACCACTGGCAAAGTGGTGGCGAGAGACAGCAGATGGGGGGGGGGGGTTGGCAATGGGGTGATTGTACATTGCATCACGTGCGTGTGTGGTGTGTATGTGTGTGTGTGTGTTAGTATGTGCAGTTGAGTGCATTGCATCATGTGTGCGCATGCGACATGCGAGTACAGCACCTGTCGATATCGACGCGTGCGCGCACGGCTTCGATCCATTCGTTGTGGTAGTCGTCAATCGACATCACAGGCAGCGCATCGCACCCGCTCCCGTCTGGCGAGGAGGGGGGGAAGTCATGAGGTGAGCACAACAACAACAGCGCGTACGCATGCGTGCAAGTCAGGAGAAGGCAGTGACGGGCACACAGCGAGAGAGGTAGATGTCCACAGCACACAATACACAAACATCCATGCATGCATGAGAGGCGCGTGTGTGGGGGTGCTCACCGGTGTGAGAGCGCCTGACCAGCGGGGCTGCTGCTCCCGGCCGCAGATGCTGTGGGAAACTCGAGAAGTACTGAACACACGCACGCAGACCACAACAGGTGTAACACACACACACACACACACACACACACACACACACACACACATGGAAAAGCAACGGGTCACGGGAAGCAGCAGCCAGTGTGTATGTATGTGTATGTGTATGTGTGTGTGCGCTCTCACGGCCGGGATGTCGATGACGATGGTGACGGGTTCGGATGCGGAGGACACGAGCAAGCGGCGGGGCTGCCATCCAACTGCAATGGAGCTCCACTCCAGCCCTGGCACGCACGTCACAAGGGCGGTGATGGCAGTTGGTGAGGACGGTTGGTAATGATGACTGCTGATGATAGTTGGCTGTGTTGATGGTGGCGCTGAAATGCATCTGGCATGGTGGTGGCCGTGGCGACACGGGGTTTGCGAATGATGTGAGCAGCGCACAAATACAGTCCCAAATACAGTCCATCTCAGCCCGCACCTCTGTAGATGGTACAGCATGTTCTGAGGTTGATGACGGCCGCAACGGCAGCAGTGGTGGACACGTCAACCACCTCGACCATATGCGATGCATGCAGCAGCACAAGTTCGCTCCCAGATGCACACACCAACGGCCGCGCTGCAGCGAGTGCATGCGAAACAGCAAGCAACAGTGTGCATGTGTGAGCGTATGGGTGTGTGTGTGTGAGTGAGCGTATGGGTGAGTGAGTGTGTGTGTGTGTGTGAGTGTGTGTGAGTGTGTGTGTGAGTGTGTGAGTGAGTGAGTGAGGAGTGAGTGAGTGAGTGAGTGTGTGAGTGTGAGCGTATGTGTGTAGGTGAGCGTGGAAACACGAGTTGCACAGCAAGTGAAATGGCGAGTGCACTTCGTGTCCTTCATGCAACATACGAATGTGACATGTTCACATGCATGATCAATGTACCCCACACGCACCGTCACGTGAGCAGTGGACGTCTGTCCAGCTGAGGTCACCGTCAATCGTGCGCACGTGCTCAACTGTGCAGCGCTGCTCCTGTCCCCCACGATGACGATGACGATGGCGGTGAGGGTGGGTGTCAAAGTCATGCTGGTGTCAAGTACCTCTTCGCACACGAAACACACACACACACGCACACACACACACACACACACACACACACACACACACACACACACACAGACAGACACACACAGACATATATGCGGTGCTTCCATGTCTACCTCTGCGTTTATGGTGACGATGGAGAAGTGCGGGTATGACAGGACAAGAAATTGCTGCTTGGAAATGGGCACAATCTGCACATCCTCCACCTCCGCATCGACTGCACGTGGCGAGTGGCAAGCAGCACGCAATGTGAGCAAGAGCGACGGCAACCTCGTACGAATGAGAGCAAATCACGCGGAACAAAACAAGCGCGCACATAGAGGCAGGCAGGCAGGCGCAAAGGCGTGGACACAGACACAGACACAGACACGACTACGCGTACACACACATACGCAGACACACAGGCACACACATACGCATACACACATACGCAGGCACACAGGCAGACACACACAGACACAGACACACACACACACACACGTACCTGTGTCGGCAAAGAGCCAGTCCAGGTGCAGGGTGCTTTTCATGACGTGTGAGTTGTCGTGAAGTGGTTCAAACTTGAATGAGGACGACGACGCCTGTGTCTCGTCGGACGACTGTTGCTCCTTGGTATCTTGGTCATTGTTGCCAGTGTGCCTGACACTGAGCAGGATTGTAACGGTGTCATTGGCGCCCAGGGCGACCAGGCACTCGCCTGCGTCTGCGGCTGCAAACGACGTGTTCTCCGTGCTGAGGAGAAAAGAGTGTGGATCTGTAATTTCTGTATCGGCCAGGAACAAGTGCCTGCAGTCACGGAGAAGGACGAGTCGTGAGTCACCACACACGTCATCGAAGGACAGAAAAACGCTGCAACGCGCAGGGAAACGCTGCAACGCACACACACACACACACACACACACACACACACACACACACACACACACACACACACACGCACGCACACACACACACGCACGCACGCACACACACACAGACGCACAGACACGCACACACACGCACACATGTAACCTACGCTGAAATTGAAGGAAGGGTGGCGAGGAGGCTGTATAGCCCAGCATCTGCTCCTGTGCCATCAGTGCTACTTTCTCGTCTGGTGGTCCAGATGGACAGGTCGTCGGCGCCTGTCGCAGACGCTTGGGTGGTCATCCACACACACGATGGCGACACCTTGCATCTCTGTGCATCCCTTGCCGCTGTTGGCAGCGCACCTTGCAACACAACCTCCATCCCTTCTGTCTTGCTGTATCCCGTTTATCACCAGCCCACGTGCTGCCTTCGCTGTTTTCTTCTCCCTCGATGCAACAGCTCTTGCTTGAATATCAAGGTCACTATCACAACATCAACCATCGAGTCCACACACCCCAACTTGCCTCCTTTTTGCTTCTTTGCTTGTCCTCTCGCTCCGCTTTGCTGCTGCTCCAAACCAAACAAATGACGAATTGCGGTGTCATACATGTATTTCTGCGGCTGGCGAAATCGCGCACAGTGTGCGAACAACAGTGTGTTCGGGGTGGTAACACACAACAGCGCTGTCGTGGGCAGTGGAAGGCACGAAGATGTTGTGACATGATGGCGGTGGGCATTTACAGCACACCTTCACATGCCACAAAGGCACACCCAGCATAACAACAACCGCCATCGATCGCAAGCCAGTAGCTAAGGTGGTGATATCGCGTCAGTGGCACAGCGTATGTAATAACCTCAGCTTCCATTACTACGAATACCGCAAACGCTCGCTGTCATCCATTCCCCAACAACCAAGCGACCATGCACGCACCTCGTCACTTCTTGGGCATGCTGAGCGTGTCCCGCGGTGAGCTGACAAGCATCCTGCGCGGGGCAGTTGCGATGAAGGCGGCGGTGAGCCGGGATCCCACCGCCCAGCTGCAATGGCTGCAGGGGCGCACCATGGCGATGGTGTTTGAGAAGCCGTCGCTGCGCACGCACACGTCGTTCCAGACGGGGATGCACCAGCTCGGCGGCAACGCCATCTACCTTGGGCCGGAGCAGATTGGCCTCGGCAAGCGCGAGCCCATCAAGGACGTCTCGCGCGTGCTCTCGCGCATGACAGACATCATCATCGCCCGCGTGTTCTCCAACGAGAGCATCCGGGAGCTTGCGGCGCACTCGAGCGTGCCCGTCATCAACGCGCTGTGCGACGTCGAGCACCCGTGTCAGGCCGTCGCAGACATGCTCACCATCCTCGAGCACAAGGGCCGCCTCGACAGCTCCCTCAAGGTCACCTTTGTTGGCGACGGCAACAACAACGTCACGCACTCCTTGGCGCTGGCGTGCGCGCAGCTGGGCGTCAACTTCACCTGTGCCAGCCCGACGCAGCACAGCATGGATGCGGGCATCCTGAAGACAGCGCAGGACACGGCGAGCGCCACAAGCGCCGCCATCACGCAGACGGTGGATGTGGCCGAGGCGGTCACGGGTGCAGATGTGGTGTACACGGACACATTTGTCAGCATGGGCCAGGAGGATGAGAAGGAGCAGCGCCTGTGCGAGTTTGATGGCTACCAATCTTCATGCATGACATGCCAGGTCTGTAGCTGCCCTCGCTTGTTGGCTGTGCGTGTGCGTGTGTGTACGTGCGTGTGTGTCTGTGCGTGTGCGTGTGTGTACGTGCGTGTGTGTGTGCGTGCGTGCGTGTGCGTGTGTGTGCGTGTGTGTGTGTGTGTTGTGTGTGTGTTGTGTGTGTGTGTGTGTGTGTGTGTGTGTGTGTGCTCTCGAAGGCTTTGTCATTCACCGTTCATTCAACGACGATGGCTAATAATCACCCACTCACCCACCCACACACCACACACTGTCTCTCTTCTCTCGCATCGCATCGCAACAGCGTACCGCGGCATTGAGGTGGCGGAGGACGTGATGGACGGACCCCAGTCGGTGGTCATCGACCAAGCCGAGAACCGCCTCCACGCGCAGAAGGCGATTGTCTGTCATCTCATGCAAGTCGGCCCCTTTGCACCGACCCACCAGAAGTAACCAAGACAATGTGTCGATGTGTGTGTGTGTGTGTGTGTGTGTGTGTGTGTGTGTGTGTGTGTGTGTGTGTGTGTGTGTTGCTTTCTCTCCTGACACTGCTCAGTTCTGTGCATCTCATGACAAGTAAAGAAAGGCTACATTGCATTGCAGATGTTGTTGTCTTTGCCGAAGTTGACTCTATTCAATGCAACACGAACCACCAACGCAACCAGCCAGAAGCAAAAAGCAGGAGAGGGCTGTCCATCGCCCGCCATCACGACCGATGAGCGTGCCTGCAAGCAACACTGTGCGTGCGCATCACTGCTTTGTGGACTCGTCAGCGGGGCCGCGGAGACGTCCGTACTCCCGCAGGCGCAGTGCGTTCACCTTGATGAAGCCTGGTGATGGTTGAGAGGAGGTGGGTAAGGTTGTGGGTGAGGTTGTGTTGGTGACGCAGACAGATGGGCAGACAGATTGGCAGACAGATGGGCAGACAGACAGACACACACACACACACACACACACACACAACATACGTTCAAGCAGGCCAATGACTCACCCTCTGCCGTCTTTGGGTCGTACTCGCCCTCGACGTCCATGCTCACGAGCTCCTCATCGTAAAGGCTCTTTGGCGACGACCGCCCGAGGATGTACACGTTGCCCCGGTACAGCTTCAGCTGCACACACACACACACACACACACACACACACACACACACACACACACACACACACACCGTGAAGTTGTGTGGTGGGATTGTGTGAGATGTGGCGGTTGTTGCAGTGCGGCACTGACCATGAGCACACCGCAAGCGAACATGACAGCAGATAAAAACGACCACACGAATCCGCATGTGTGTGCATGTGCATGTGCATGTGCATGTGCATGTGCATGTGCGTGTGCTCACCTCAACGACGCCCTCCACGTCCTCCTGGCTCTGCGCAATCGCTTTGCGCACGTACAGCGCCTCGGGGCTCCACCAGAACCCGTGGTACACCTGTCGTGATGATGGCGGTAAAGGCAGTGACGGTTGTGGGTTGGTGGTGGCGACGGCAGGTGAGAGCTTGTGAAGGTCCGTCACGGACTGGGAATGATGATGCATGAAATGGCAGGGCTGGTGTGCAATTGTACACCTCCTTGTCTTCAACAACAGCATCTTCGCCTTAACGTACAACGACTCTCCCCTGGTTTGCCATCACCATCACCACCCACCACCAACCATTGCCACCAGTCATCCAAACCATCACCTGCTCGGTCATCTTGGATGAGAGCATGTCGCGGATCTTGCGCACTTCCCGGTCGATTGTCAGCGCCTCAATGTCAATGTGCGCCTCGCGCAGCACCTGTCCCGCTGGCGTCTCGTACACGCCCCGGCTCTGGTCGATGGCGGAAAGGGTGGCGGTGATGGCGGTGAGGGCCAACGCGATTAGGTAGTTGCATCATGCACACACACACACACACACACACACACGTACACACAGACAGACACACAGACACACACACACACAGATACGGATGGCTGCACCTTCATGCCGATGAAGCGGTTCTCGACAATGTCGATGCGGCCGACACCGTGCTTGCCGGCAACCTCGTTCAGGTACAGGTACATTTCCACGATACCGTCCTTCGTCACGCCCTCCGTCTTGTTCGTCACCTAATAAAGGGTGAAGTGGTGTTGTGAGCGGCGGGGGGAAGGCATAGAGCAGAGGGGACGCCACGGCGCTGACGCAACACACACACACACACATACACACACAGACACAGACACAGACAGACATAGATACACACATCACGCATAGATACACACACACAAACATCCACAACAAGCCCCCCCCCACCTTGACTGGGACGCCGTGCTTGAACTCGATGGCAAGTGTCGTCGGCTCCTGCGGCGCCTTCTCGGGGTCGGTCGTCATGTTGAAGATGCCCGGTGGCGCGTGGGCAGACGGGTTCTCAAGCACCCCGCTCTCGTAGCTGGTGTTGGTGCAGGCCAATGACGCAGCAAGCGGGGAAGTGAGGAGAGCGAAGAGGTTGGAGGGGTTGAAGGGGGTGGACCCAGCAAGCGGAGGGCGGGGCAGGGGAAGTGGAGGTTCTGGCCAGAACTCTTCTCGTTGTGTGAGAACTCATAGCATGCAGAGCAGCGACCACACACACCACAGTGCACCTCTTCGAAACCACCGACCACCACCAGCGTCAGGGCCGTCACCTGATGTGCATGAGGTTTGCGTCCATGCTCCATGGGCTCTTCGGGGTGACGGGGAGTGGGATGCCGTGTTGCTTGGCGTACTCAAACAGATCCTTCCGCCCCGCAAACCGCTTGTAGAAGGCCGGGTCACGCCACGGCGCAATCACCTTTTGGGTGTTGGAAGGGGGAGGGGGAGGAGGGATGAGAGGAGAAAGGGGAAGATGCAGCCCAACAGCATATGCACTCAGAAACACATCAACACACACACACATTTTCACATGACATGCGACCGCACCGTGATGGATGGCTGGAGGGCGTAGTAGGTGAGCTCGAAGCGAATCTGGTCGTTGCCCTTGCCGGTGGCGCCGTGGGAGACGAAGCCCGCGTTCTCCTTCTTGGCAATCTCAATCTGGCGACGGGCAATGCAGGGGCGGGCGATGGCGGTGCCCATGAGGTAGCGGTCCTCGTAGATGGCGTTGGCCTGCACCGTCGGGTAGATGAAGTCGCGGATGAACTCTTCCTTCAGGTCCTCGATGTACACGGCCTTGGCGGCCTGCACCGTCGGGTAGATGAAGTCGCGGATGAACTCTTCCTTCAGGTCCTCGATGTACACGGCCTTGGCGAAGAAGGTGAGCAGGAAGGCGTGGGGTGAGAGGAGGAGGGGGAAGTGGAGGTGTTCATTGAAGACAGGTGACCCCGAGGTCAATCAGTGGCACATGTGTGCGTGTATGGCATACACTTGACAGTGGCAGCGATACCACTGCGCATCTCCTTCAGCTGAGACCATCAAGCGCACAGCCGCTGCGCATCTCCTTCAGCTGAGACCATCAAGCGCACAGCCGCTGATGGCATCAAGCACATGTCCGCGTGCACGCGCACAGACACAGACACACACACACAGATACATACAGACACACACACACACACACACACACACACAGACCCACACAGATACATACAGACACACACACACACACACACCAGGTATGCGACGACGTCGTAGCCTTGCTCAATGAGCCATACGAGGATGCAAGATGTGTCGAGGCCGCCACTGTAGGCCAGCACGACCGTCTTGTTGCCTTCGTCGGCACCAGTCTTTGCGCGCTTTGCGTCCATGGTGGGTGTGCCTGCGTTTGTCTCGGCGTGCGTACGCGTGCGTGTGCGTGTGTGTGGTTCGCGATGTCGCTCTCACTCCGGCGTTGTAAATGAGCGAGTGTGAGATCAAGGCTGTCGTTGCCAGTGGTAGTGGTCAGTGAACGTGGATGCTCTTGTGTTGTTTGTGCAATTAATTACGCCAGCACTTTGTGTGGTTTTGTAACTGAACTGCTGTTGCGTTCGGCCACCGCGTGTGACGTTGGTGTTGAAGCACATCTCACAGCACGCTCCCTCTGTCTTGCTGTCTTATTTGATGGTGTATGTAGGGGAGGGAGGTGGCTAGCGGAGGAGCACGCAAAGGAGGAGGGGGGAATGACAGCACGCGTAGGCAGAGCAAAGGAAAGCACTGTGGAGGATGTGGTCAACGTGTAGCGCGTTGCGTATAGATGTGGGATGTAGGGGGATGCATGTGTGTGTGTGTGTGTGTGTGTGTGAAGATGCGAAGTGTTTACTTCTGGTACTGCTCGTGGAACCACTTCTGGCCCTTCTCAATGCTCTTCTGCAGCTCAGGGATGACCTGCAATGCGGGCAAAACACACAGAGAGAGAGAGAGAGTGTGTGTGTGTGTGTGCGTGTGTGTGCGTATGTGAGAGAGAGTGTGTGTGTGTGAGAGAGAGTGTGTGTGTGTGTGTGAGAGTGTGTGAGCGTGTCAAGAGGGAAGATCCATGTTTGCACACACAAAAGCGCTTGCATTTCGCTCACACACAACCACTGCTCCTCCACTCAGGGTGCCGCACCTCTGCCTCGAGCTTCTGCTTCTCGTAGTCGCTGAGGTCGCCCAGGCCGAGGTTGCGCTCAACACCGTTCACCTGTTTGCAAGACACGCATGCGAAACCACACGTGAGCCAAAACAGGGCATGGTGTGACGTGATGTCGTGTCAACAAGGGCAGCAGCACAGCGCACTCGGCTACCAGACTGCTCGTTGAGCTCGACGCAAATCAAACCGTCAATCACACCAGCGCGCTTACACGTCATGCACGTGGCACACACATGCCAAGCACACACACACACACACACACACACACACACACGCCACATGTCACACACACCCCCACGCACACACACACGCCACATGTCACACACACACACACATGCCACATGTCACACACTACTTACGCCGAGCTCGACTTGGCTGGAGAAGTACTGGCAGGACGTGACGTCAGACTCAACCATCGTGCACTCAACAACGTTCTTCTCGCCGTTCAGGGCGCGCACGAGCTGCAGGTGCCAAGTGACGGATAGGAAGAAGGAAGGGTGTGCGTCAGTGCGTGAGTGAGTATGGGTGTTGCGCATCATTGAAACAAGTCACACACAACGTGTGCGCGAGTGTCGAGGGATGCAAGTGTGCACGGCACGGCATGCAACGCATCTGCATTGCGCAAGCTGTGTTGAGTGCAACTCACGGCAAAAGCGAACTGGGCGCCGGCCCAGGCCATGGAGAGCGTGGCAGAACCCTGGGTTACGAGGAGGTGCCGATGGAGATGAGCATCAGCGGAGGGGTAGCGATGCAATTTGCAGATTTGCAGATGCAAACGTTCAGGCCATGCACAAGACATGAACCATACAGACACGGTGCAACGCACAGACACATTCACACAGACACATTCACAGATACACATTCACAGATACACACGCACACTTACGCACACACTTACGCACACACTTACGCACGCACACACACACACACACACACACACACACACACACACACACACACACACACACACACACACACACACACACACACACACACACAAAGCAGACGGCACAGGGCCGCGAGCGGGCGTGGACGTACAGCGCCGGCCTTTGCCTCGACGACTTCGGTGCCGCCGTTCTGGATGCGGTGCGTCAACGCGTCGCGCTCCTCGTCCGTGAACGACGTCGCAGGCTCGGTCTGCACACCGCAAGGAGGGAGGGGGGTGAGGGATGGATTGAGTGTCAGAGGTGTGTTGCGCACGTGGAACGAGCAAGAACCAGCACGTGAGACACAGACGCACTCGCACATGCAGGCGCAATACAATACACGCTTTCACATACATACACAGACACACACACACACACACACATAGACACACGCGTGCATGCACACGCGTGTGTTGTGGCGTACCCTGGAGAGGAGGGGCAGGATGGTGCCGCCTGCATGGCCGCCAATGACGGGAACAGAGACGTCCTTGGGGTCAAAGCCCTTCTTGCCAGCAATGAACGTGCGCGCACGCACAACATCCAGCGTCGTCACACCAAACAGGCTGCCACGTTGTGTTAAATCGGGGGAATAAGAGTGGGTGGGCGAGTTGGCGAGAAGAGTGAGCCGTGCCACACAATGAGCGACACAATTAGAACCATGTACACATAGGAACATAAAAACAGCTACACACAGAGCTACACACAGAGCTACACACACACGAACACACACACACAAGCACACACATACACACGAACACACACACACACACACACACACGCCCGCAGCGCGATATGGCAGCGGCCGTGGCGGTTACCGGCGCGGGTCGTAGACGCCGTGCTTCTTGAGGGCCTCAGCAGCAATGGCGACGGTGCTGTTGACGGGGTTGGAGATGACAGCAATGCACGCCTCGGGGCAGTTGCTGCAACATCGACAAACAACGCGTGACAGTCATGGTGGCGATGTGGAGGAGGAAGGGGAGAGGGGAGGGTGCGTTAGTAAAGCAGCGACACAGCTCAGAAAGAGGGGCGAGGTGGAAGGGGACGTGCACGAGACAACACGTGACAATAGGGTGTGCGTGTGCGTACATGGCGCAGGCCTCGGCGAGGGAGGCGACGATGGAGGCGTTGGTGTTGAAGAGATCATCGCGGGTCATGCCTGACACACACGCACGGGGGATTGTTTTTGGGGGGGGGGATGATAGGGGGAAATGTCATGGTGAGGGGGGAGAGAGAGAGAGAGAAAGCAACGCGGCAACGCTCAACATAGCGAACAGAGTCATCAGAGTGCAAGCAAGCACGTTCACACATTTGTTGCACACGGTATCGTGCAAACATGCAATTTCGAAGTACCCCCCGCGGCATAAAGCACCTGGCTTGCGGGGAACACCGGCGGGGATGATGACAATGTTGGAGCCCTTGAGGGCATCGGCAAGCTCGCCCTCGCCGTCGTGGCCAGTGACCTACACCAACGTGGACAAGTTAATGGTCGGGAAATGGATTGGGGGGGGGGGAGGGTGAGCAAAGAAGTGACACAAAAGCAAAAGCGGTGCACATACACACACACACACACATATGCAAGCACACACACACACACACGCGCGCGCGCAAGCACGCAAACCCCTTCATACACACCGACAAACGCACACCTTGGCGGCGGTGTCAATGTGGCTGAGGTCAGCCGCGACACCCTTGGCGTGCTGGATATCGTACACGGCAACCTCGTCCACAAAGGCGGGCGGGTGCGACAGCTTCATCAGCATGGACAGGGGCTGGCCAATACCACCAGCACCGCCAAGCACGGCAACCTTCATGTTGTTCTGCGTGAAGGGGTCAAGGGTGAACATGTGCCGTTGAACAGTGGTGCAGAAAAATGCAAGTTTCATACGCGCACAGCCAACGCCGTCGTTCACGCACACGCATGAAGTCGTTCACACACACACGCACACGAAGTTGTTCACACACACACACACACACATAAAGTCGTTCACACACACACACACACATAAAGTCGTTCACACACACAGTCGTTCACACGCACACAAAGTCGTTCACACACACATAAAGTCGTTCACACACACAGTCGTTCACACGCACACAAAGTCGTTCACACACACACACGCACACACACACACACACACACACACACCAACCTGGACGGAGGTGGAGAGGCTGCGCGCAGCGGGCGCAAACTTGATGGCGCGAGACAGCATCATGATGTAGTTGTGCAAAAAGGTCAAGCAACGACTGACAGAGAGAGAGAGAGAGAGAGAGAACAAGACCTGCAGACATGCACACCACGCACATCCGTCAGTGAACAAAGGGAAAGAAAGGCCCAGCCAGTGAGTGTAAACAAAACAAGAGGCTGTCATGCCATACATATACATTGCACGCATGCATGGTGTCGAATCCACTTCCACTCTCCCTCCTCTTCACACCCTCTCCCCCTCTCCCTCTCTACCCCTCCTCTTTTCTCTCAATCCTACACCACCATCATCCATCGCCAAGCGAAGCAACCACAGACAGCACAGACAGCACAGCACGCTGCAGCACTTCACGAACCAGCAACGCGAGGCATTGGCAGCAAGTTGTGCGGATTGCGAAAATTGGCTACATCTTCAAACAAATCACGTTTTTGCTTGGATAGGGTTGCAAATTGTAAACCACCCTTTTCATGGTGTGCGGAACGGTCGACCGCAATTTGCAAAACACAAGCCAACCTCCCCAAAAACAACAACAACGACAACCGGCCAATATGGGGTGGGGGAGGAACAAGAAGAAGAAGACAACGCCCATCACAGCAGGCGCTGGCGATGGTGCTGGTGGCGACGGGGCAAGTGGCGATGGACAGGTGGCGCAGGCGGCAGCAGCCTCGTTTCACCGTGCGTTCGCTGACCTTGACGGTGACGACATGGACAGCAGTTCCGCTGCTCCGTTTGATTCCAGCGACATGGGCAGCAGCAGCAGCGATGACGAGGGCGACGGCAGCAACAAGAAGAAGAAGAAGAAGAAGAAGAAGAAGAAAAAGGACAAGAAGAAGCAGCAGCGTAAGAAGGGCAAGGGCGTGAAGAACAAGAAGAAGAAAGGAAAGCACCTCACACGACAAGTCAGCGTTGTCGCCACCACACTTTCAAGCAACCCTGCATTCCAGGACGGGAAAGACAACAAGGTGGCAGTGGCGTCCGAGTGTGTGTGTGTGTGGGTGTGGGTGTGTGTGTCTGTGCGTGTGTGTCTGTGTGTATGTATGTGTGTGTGTGTCTGTATGTCTGCATGTCCACCTATATGCACTTGTGTGCACTTTGACGATCTTCATCTCCGTCCTTCTGTGTGCTGATTCGTTGTTCCACGGCCTTGCATCCCCCCTTATCTGCAAACGTGTGATCATACATGCTCACGCGTTGGCCACGTTGTGTATGCGCGCAGAAAAACAACCGAAGGTCCACAGCCAGCACCGTCACGCCCAGCATGTCAGACGATCCAAAGGACTTTCAGTTCCAAGGTGCGTGCATGCGTGTGTGAGTGTGTTCGTGCACATGCTATCATGCCGATGAACTTTTGTTCATCATCTCACTCTGTCGTTTCATTTCTCATTTGCCTGCAATTCCCGCTCTCTTGCAGTTGGCGTCAATGCCAAGTGGCGTGCGTCTGAGCTTGCAGATTCTGGGCAGTGGCAAAACGCTCGCGACATGTACCTTGTCGCTGTTGAAAAGTGAGCGTGTGCGTGGGGGTGCAGTGATCGGGCATGTGTGTTTGTCCTTGCTGCATCGCTCCAAATCACCATCACCTGCACAACCACCTGTCCAACATTGACAACCTCCAACACATTACTCACTCACTCACTCACTCACTCATTCAACTAACTCAACTCGCACACTCATTCAACTCACTCACTCACACACCCACACTCACTCACTCACTCACTCACTCACTCGCTCACACACCCACACTCACTCACTCCCCCCTCCCAACACCCACACCCACACACACACGCACACACACTCACCCCCCCCCCGCCACATGATGTGCAGGTTTTCGTCGTGGTTGCAGCTGCACGGGAGCCCGCGCGACAGCAAACAGAAGCGCATGGCCATGCAGTACAAGGACGAGTGCGAGATGCTGGCCGACGAGCTGAGTCGCGCATATGGACTGCCACCTTCGGCGGTCGTTCGCGGCGCTGCCCAATTCTTCGTCAAGTACTATGGCGTGATTGAGGACCTGACAGACTGGTCGTGCCTCTCGTCACGCTCGGAGGTGCTGGACGTCATTGACAGCGCCAAGTACGACGGCCTGCTGCCCTGGCGGCTGCCCAACACAGACATCTCCATCCTCACCGTCTCCGTGTATGGGCTGAAGATCACGGACCAGATGATGTCTGAGCCACCGCTGATGCGAGAGCCCCTGTACGCCGTGGCCAGCTACAACTGCGTGCAGGAGGCGGAGGGGCATTTCGCCCTGCTGATCAAGACAGGTGACCCGGACACGGGCGAGTTCTTTGCGCACGTGCTTGAGATTGGCGACGAGCGACGCGCCACAGAGGTGTGCTCGCTGATCGAGCGCATGATCGCCGAGGCATTCAAGCAGGCCCACCCCTTTGAGGAGGCGCACCCCGTCGACGACCTGCCGCCAGCGCCCCCGCTGCCGCCGCGCATGTACGCGTCAGATGACGTGGGCGGGTTCAGGAGCGACGACGACACGGGCGACTTCTTGCACACGGCAGGCCGCGGGTCAAGCATTGGCGGGGTCACCAGCGGAGGCAGCACACGCCGGTCGAAGCGGCTGGTGCGCGGCAGCAAGCGAGAGAAGTCCAAGGCAGCGTTGCTCGAGGAGACGGCGGCGTTCAAGCCCGTGCAGGCGTCGCAGGGCGCTGTTGGCGACATGGGCACGGTGATCGACTTCATGCAGCTGCTGCAGTCGGAACTTGACGATGACGAGCTGTCTGAGTTTGCTGCCCTCATGCGCTCGTACCGTGCACTGCAGGGCGGCATTGGCATCATGCCGTTTTGCAACAAGTTCTATCGCCTGTGCGGACAGGACAGGCAGGACCTGTTCAAGGCCATCCGCCCCTTCATCAACAACGACCACCTGCCCAAGTTTGACGAGTTTGTGACGCTGCTGTTCCGCGGGCGCGAGTCGCCGCAGCCAACACCGACCGACACGGGGGCACGCCGCGTGTCTGCGCGCGGCTCCGGTGGCGCCGGTGCCCGCAGCAGAGGTAGCCGGGACGAGAGCAAGGGTGGTAGCAGCACGGCAATACACGAGGTTGAGCCTGGGGCGGACGATGTGGACACGGCAGATGTAGCCTCCATCGCCGTGGCGTCGAGGAAGGCATCACGCGATATTGCCGTCAGCACTCGCACCTCCCTCTCACAGGGCACCGCCGCAGCCGCTGTTCAGCCGTCCAGCAATGATGACACGAGCCCTAATGGCGATGCGCAAGCAACTGGCAGTGCATCCACAACAGCGCCACCTCCTCCACCTCCGCCACCGCCACCACCACCACCACCACCGCCACCACCGCCTGGCGGGTTGATTGCGGGGCCGTCGGCAACAGGGGCAGCAGCAGGCGGTGTGGAGAGGGGCAAGAGCGAGGATGAAGAGGAGGAGAAGGAGAAGGAGAAGGAGGAAGACGAGAAGAGTGGGGAGGAGCAAGCGGAGGGTGAGGAAGCGGAAATCGAGGAAGATGAGGAGAAGGAAGGGTCTGCAGCAACAGGCGCCGCGGTGCTTGCAGGCAAAGAGACAGCGCCATCTGCTGCTGCTGCACGTGAGCGCGTTCGGGCCGAGGCTGGACCTGACGTTGATGACGACGACGACGACGACGACGATGGTTTGGTACGCGCTGCGTTTAGTTTTAGTTTGGCTGTTGCGGGATCTTGTGCTTGTTGTCGCGCTTGCGTTCGGGGTTTTAGCTCTGCTTTGGTGTGCTCCTGGAGTCACTTCACGTCCTATCATCTCACCCCACCACTGCCACCACCACCACCACCACGACTACGTTTTTTTTTATTATTGCCGCCTGTGTGCCTGTTTGCTGTTCTCCAACAGGACCCAACCCTGAAGGCGTGGTTCAAGCGCAAGAAACGCCTCGAATCGTCCTCAGCGGGTGCAGATAAAGGCAACGATGACAGCAGCGACACCGCTGCTGTGCTGCCGCCGTGGGCTGCAGACGTGAGGCGACCGCTTGCTAATGTTGCTCGCGGCACGACGACAGGCACCACCATCCTCCCACCAGAACCGGTGCCAGTGCCGCAGCTGCGCCCGGCTACAACAGCAGCAGCCGCACAATACCAGCAGCCGCAACAACAACAGCAACAGGCAGCGTCAGCGTGGGGAGTTTCACAGCAACAGCAACAGCACCAGCAGCAGCAACAAGTGTTTGAGCAACAGCAGCAGCAGCAACAGCAGCAATCGCAGCAAGAATTGTTGCAGAAGCGAAGTCAGCTGGACAACATCTTGAACAAACGGACGCCTGGTGCAGTGCCACCGCCACCACCTCCCACACAACAGCAGCAAGCAGCCACATACGCCCAGCCATACCAACCGCAGTCGCAGGCATACCCGCCAACACAGCCAGTCTATCAGCCACCGCAACAACAACAGCAGCAGCAGGCTGGCTACCAGCAGGCATCGTACTCACAACAGCAGCAGCCCGCATTCGCCGCGGCGACAGCAGCGGCACCGGTGTATGGGTCATCTTTGCAGGCAACACAGCCGTTTGCTGTGCAGGAGGCTGAAGGCACGCGGCCGCCGTGGCTACGGGAGGTGGAGGCGAACAAACAGCGACGACTCGATGCTTTACTCGGCAGCAGAAACCAACAGCAGCAACAACCGCAACAGCAACAGCAACACCAGCAACAATACCTGCAACAACAGCAGCAACAGCAACGTGTACAGAGCCGCCCACCACCGACCGCCGTCATGCCATCAACCACCTCGGCAGCGCCGCCGCCACCACCACCAGCGTCATCGGCAGGGTTGGCCTCGTCGTCTGCGACCGCCGCTTCGCTTTCGAGCCCGTGGGCACTGCAGCGCATGAACCGGGAGCCAGCGCCGCCAAAGTTGACACAGCAACAGGCGCAACAGCAGCAACAGCAGCAACAGCAGCAGGCGCAGGCGTACAAGCCGCCGCCACTGCAGGGCGAGCGGTCGCCCAATTGGATCAAGGTGTGTTTTTTTGTTTGTTTGTTTGTTTGTTTGTTTGTTTGTTTGTTTGTTTGTTTGTTTGTTTGTGTGTTTGTTTGTTTGTTTGTTTGTTTGTTTGTTTGTTTGTTTGTTTGTTTGTTTGTTTGTTTGTGTGTTTGTTTGTTTGTTTGTTTGTTTGTTTGTTTGTTTGCATCACCGCAAGCATGACCACGACCCCTCAACGCCACCTGCACCACCTCACCCTCCCTTGTGCCTCATCGCTTTCCACACCGCAGCTGGCGAAGGAGCGGCGGCAGCAGCGGTTGACTGAGCCCGACCGCCAGCGCGAGGCCGAGGAGGAGGCGGAGCAGCAGCGCTGGCAGGGCGTGCCCACGTGGAAACGCAAAGTGCTCGAGCGGAAGGAGGCAGAGGTACACGTGTTTGTTTGTTTGTTTTGTCAAGGCGCGTTTTTGTTGTCTTGTAACAACATATTCATCGCGTTTTCACGCGCTGCATGTCTTGCCTCGAAACGCTCGCGCTTGCCATGCACACACCATTCACTCATGATGCACCCACTCACACCCCTCGATCGTCTCCTCGACAGGCCATGCTGCCAGCGCTGAAGCAGCAGGCCATCGACAACTACTGGCGGCAGCGGGAACAGGAGCTGTCCCATCTGCCAAACTTCAAGCGGGAGGTGATGATCAAGAAGGAGAAGGAGGAAGTCAAGCACGGCTTCAGGCGATTGCCACCCGAAATCTTCAAGAGCATCCAGGTGCCGGGCAAGAGTGCGCCAAGTGGCCCGCCACCGCGCCTGCCGCAACAGCAGCAGCCACGACCACCAATGCCAGCACAACAGCAGCAGTCGTCATCATCGTCGAGCACGACGGGGAGTGGCGTCTTCCTCCCACCGCCACCCCCAATTTGATTCCACTCTTTTATCTCCTGACATGTACACACACACACACACCACACACACACACACACACCACACACACACACACACACACACACACACACACACACACACACACACACACACACACACACACACACACAACCTCTCTCCTCTTCCTGCCTCATACCACCACATCACATTACCTGCACGCACCTCTGTTGTCTTCCTCCTTTTATTCCGTGCTTCCTTCTGAGCCGTAATCGAGTTTGATTGTTCGCATGCCGTTTGCGTTTGTTGTCTTGTTCTCGCGCTTGTGCGCCTTGTACCCACACATAGCATGCACGACTGCCTGCGTGCGACTGTTGCTATTCAGCCCCGATATCTCTTCCACCCCCTGCTGGTGCTCACGATGCGACTCTTGTTTGTATTTTGTCGCACGCACGCGGTCATTGGCGTCGTTTATTACACACACATACACACCCACGCGTTCGGCTAAGCCATAACCAAGGGCAGGAGAACAGGAGGGGGGGGGGCAAGCTCTACGAGCAACAAGGTAGAAGAAGGCTTGACATGATGATGATGCATGAACTGGATGGAGGGACGTGGAATGCGTGTTTGGTCGATTACAATCACAGAAACAAAGGGAGACGAGGAGGTGAGACCACGTTACGATGGACCGCCAAAGTTGTACTTCTTGTTCAGCTGCGCCTTGTGGTGTTCCATTGCACCTGTGTGTGAAATTGCGTACAATGTTGTGTGAGGCGATGAATGCAATGACAAGGGCTTGCAGTGGCGAAGAGTTGCACGACCAACACACAAAGAACCCACAAGCAAGCAAGAGTGCTGCACAGGCATCGAAGCACCCCACAACGGACGGCACAAGCCAAGATACAACCCACAACAACCCAGAACTGGTCTCAACACCAATGGCGCATCACATCATTCACAGCAGCAGCAGCAGACGCACCGCGCTGGATGGCGATCTCGCTCTCGAGGCGGTCCACCAAATCGGGAAAGACGGGGCGATGGGCAGGCGTCTGGTGCCAGCAACTCATCATCAACGCACGCATGCGGTCGTTTGCTGCTGACGGCGGCGATAGCCTGCAAGGGGGGGTCCGTGATGTGTTGATCGGGGAACACAGGGCGCATGCGAACTGTAAGCAAAGGAGTGAAAGCACACATACAAATGCACAAGCACACGCACACGCACACGCACACGCACACGCACACGCACACACATACAACACACACGCGCACAACGCACACGCAGACAAACACACACACATACACACAAATAAGCACATGCACACAATACAGCGCGCGACGTACCGTTGGCCTGACGATAGCATGGCCAGCACGTCTTGCTCCGACATGCCCGCGAACGGCTTCTGGCCATTGGTCAGCAGCTCCCACATGACGACACCGAATGCCCACACATCCGTTGCTTTGGTCAAATCAGACGCCCCAGACAGCAGCTCAAGCGCCTGCATGAACAGATGAACGAACGTGATGAAGGCGGGCATCAGCGAGGCGAATGCCAGCAGCACTTTGGCGAGTAAACATCAACACGTCGAGCCACACGCACACACATGTACGCACACACACTCAGACACACACACACGCACACGCACACGCACGCGCACACACACGTCCATTCGCACACGCATGCATACACACACCTTCCAAGGGAACTTGACGACGGGAAACGGCGACTGGTAGCTGTCCAGACGGGCGAGGCGGTGGATCTTGACCTTCTTGCTTCGCGAGAGGAGCAGCATGTCAAGCTGCAGTGCACCGTTCATCACGCCATGCTCGTGCAAGTGCTGCATGCCATCTGCAATCTGCTGGGCAAAGTCGAGCAGATCCGGCACGCGCAGCTGTGGCCCCAGCGCGCGCCGCTCCCCTTCCTGCTGCACATACCGCTTCAGGTCACCCTGGTGATGGTGGTAGCGGTGATGGCGGTGGTTGTTGTGTTTGTGGCGTTGGCAAGATGCGTGATGAGATGTTTGTGGCGGGGAGGAGGGGAGTGCAAAGCGCGCGTGCACACGCACAAACAAACAAACAAACAACCAACCAACCAACCAACCAACCAAGCAACCAACCAACAAACCAACCCACCAACCAAGCAACCAAGCAACCAACAAACCAAGCAACCAAGCAACCAAGCAACCAACAAACCAAGCAACCAACCAAGCAACCAAGCAACCAACAAACAAACAAACAAAAAAACAAACACATAGACACACACATGGACCAGCAGAACTACCAAGACGCACCAGGTCTGATTTCTCGTGGAGGATGAGGACGGGGGCGCGCTGCGATGCAATGCCGAGCACCTCGATGATGTTCGGGTGGTGCAGCGCCCCAAGCACGCGCGCCTCAGCCACAAGCGAAGCGACATCAAACATGCGGTTGTTGGTGTGCAGGCGGTGGGCGATGACGGGCTGGCCCTTGAAGATTGCGTCATGCACAGCCCCAAAGCGACCGGTGGTGAGCGAGCGCCGGAAGATGACTTGTGTCGGCCGTACCTCCAGCGACGGCAGGTCCGTGGCAGCAACCTGACCGACAGAGGAGCCATCAAAGCGCTTCTGCAGTACAAACGCCAGCTCTTCCTGCAGCGTTGCGTTGGAGAGACGTGCCTCCTCCCCAGCCCTCACCCGCCGCTCAGCAGCCCGCCACAGCAGCACGGCAGCAACCGCGCCAACCGCAACCCCAGATAGTGCAGCAGCCACCATCCCACCATTGCTCACGGGCCGGCTCGACGACGACGATGATGACGATGATGATGATGATGATGATGTTGATGATGCTGATGATGATGCCTGGGTAGAGCTATCCTCCACAGCGTCCACGGCAGCCGTGAGGACTTCAATCACAATACCGGGCCCCTCTCCAGCTTCTGTACGCGCTGTCACGTTGAGCGAGAACGCGCGTGCAGCCTGCAGGCCGTCCACCACCAGCACAAGCGGCTCAGCGCCAATACCGCCACCAGGCAGCCGCGCTGCGGGGAGCGCAGCGGCGGCGATGGGGCGCGTGCTGTTGTCGGTGACTGTGCTGAGGTGCACGCGGTACGCCAGCAGCACGCCATTGAGCGGATCCGGTGGCGTCAGCTGCAGGGAGATGCTGCGCGTGGTTGTGTCTGTTGGGGACAGCCCGCTGGGCCGGCTTGGCGGCGCCTGCGCTGTCAGCACGTGGTAAGGGCGGGATCGAAGCTGGTTGTTGTGGAAGGTGAAGGCGTATGTGGTGTACGGCAGCAGAGATGCGCGCACGTTGACGGTGGCCTGGTCCCTGCTGATGGAGGCAACGTTTGCGCGCGGCGCGAGCGTGGTGCGGTTGTTCGAATCACGCACCACCCAAAACGTAGACCCCGTGATCTGAAGCTCCTGCGCCAGGAGAAAGCTCACGGACCCGTCACCTTCAATGGTGTGCGTGAGGATGACGGGTACAGACGTGAGCGAGAACTCAACGTTCTGTGTGCCGTTGATGGCGGTGGCAGGCGGGAGCGCGGACGTGTCGAGGTAGTGGAGGCACGATTGCTTGGCTGGCAGCCAGCACGACAGGAACAAGGGCCGCACTGCAACCTCAAATAGGCGGTTCACCCGCAAGTACACGCCCGTTGATGTGACAATGTCCTCAAACACAGGCGTGCGCACACCGTACAGGGACAGGTCCTCTGCAAGCACGTGGTACGCGGCCGCGCGCGTGCCGTCCTGCAAAACAGTTGGCTCCCATTGCAGCCACACCGCGCGAGATTCGCTCTCTGGTCCGAGCGTGGTTGCCTCATTGAAGCGCACGCGTGCTACTCGTTGTGCTGCGCTGATGGAGGTGGCAGTCACGGGCAAAGAGCGGCGGGAAAGCGGCCCGAGAGACGGGTGGACCAACTGAACGCTGAAGCGATGGCGCGTGCCTGCAGGCAACTGCTGCACCAGCAATTCAAACGCAAGGACTTCAACATCTACATCATCGTCGTCGCCGTCGTCGTCGTTGCTGTTCGTAGGAGGCGTTGAGGTCATGGCGCTGATGAGCTTTGACAGCAAGTATGGGCCACCGCGGCTGTCAGCATAGCACGGGGATGCGGTGAAGGTTGGAGTGGGCTGGGCACCGTTGCTCCCATTGTCACTTACATCGTTGGCACCGCTTGTGGTGTTGTCTCCATGCGAGGGCGAAACAGCAGCAGTCGGTGCCTCTGCTGACAGGGCAGGGATGGTGGTGATGGGCGCACCGTCGACAAAGACGCGGAAAAACAGCGACTGGAACGATACCGGCACGTTGACGCCCGTAAGCGTGGAGGCGACGTCTGCAAACGTGCTTGCAGGCACGGTCCATTGGAAGAGCACCTCGCTGGACGACAGCGGGCGTGCAATGACTGCGTCGAGGTTGGGCAGCAGCGGCGGTGTGTGGAAGGAGATGGCTGATGATGCCGCATGCCTGCAGGTGCTGTTTGCTGCGGTGGTGCTGGAGCCCACGCCGCTAACCCCAATGGTGACGGTGTACGTCGTGTCTGGCATCAGCTGCGAGAACACGAGCGTGAACCCGTCCCAGTCCCAAAACCCGCGGCCCCCGCTCAGCGCCACGTCGATGGTGGGTGGCGCACTGCCCGTTGCCGCCGTCTCCACCGCCACCACCGCACGCGTGGGCGCAACCTGCGACACGCTCGGGGCAACGCGAGCACAGCGGCACGCCACGGTGAGCGTACTCAGTGCCCAGCGGTCCAGCGTGAGCAGGGGCGCGCTGGCGGTGAGGGCGGGGGAGATTGGGGCGGTGTCGTTCGCCATGGTCGACGACGACGATGATGATGATGATGACGATGATGATGATGACGACGATGATGCTGCTGATGATAGCGGGGCAATGGCGAGGAGGTCTGGGGATGCCAGCAGCGCCGTGATCGATTGCGGGAATGACAGGTCGGACACAGACGCAGCCATCACCGCAGCCGTGGGCGTGGTGTGCGTGCTAGCCATGTTGGCAGACCAGAGTATGTGCACCAGCATGATTCCATCGCCACTGACCCACCGCTGCACACGCGCTACAGGTGTGATCAGGTCAGAGACACGCGCCACCACAATGTCCTCATCTGAAGCGTCAAAACTGCCACCACCGCTGCCGCTGCCGCTGTCCGTGGCGTTGGCGGTTGGGCCGGCAACGTGCAGCACGTACTCCGAGCACAGAGCCGGGTTTGAGGTTGCGCCATCCAGAAGTTCGCACACCGCAGACGCGAGCGGTGCTGCCGTTGCAGATGTGGTGGTGGTGGTGGTGTTGACCTGGCAGTCAGCAGGGCAGGATGTGGCGGGGAGCGCGCCGCAGCGGGCCGATGTTGGCGACTGGCACCGCCCGGCACCGTTCCATTCGCAGCGTGGCACGGGGCATGCCTCGCGGGTGAGGAATGTCGTGCATGAAGGGTGGGGTTGCCCCTGCAGCAGCGACGGCACAGGCGGCGTTCCCAGCGGCGCGAGGGCGAGCTTGTCGACAAACACGAGCGGCGCTGTTGGGTCTGCGACGTTGCGCAGGGACACGCTGAGGGAGGGCGCCTGCTGCATGGTGCCCGTCAGCGGGGTGAGGGCGAGCGTGCCTGCATGCACCCACGTCATGTCGCCGGTGCAAGGGATGACGATGGGGATGGTGGGCTGGTGTGCGACGTGGTCGCGAGGGCCGAGAAGAACGGAGGACACGCGGTCGGCGAGCGGGGCGCAGCGGGCGTGCAGGTAGAGGCTGGCGCTCGCTTGCCCACGAAGGCCGTCGGCGAAGGGCGCACCCTGCTGGTTGATGAGCGCCGTCACAATCTGGGTGGAGAGGGTGCGGGTGGTGCGAAGGCCACGCAGCACCTGCCCACGGGTGGTGAAGGTGGCCACCTCCCACGCGGCCTCGCTCGCACCACGAAGCAACAGCGTCATCGTCTCCGCCTCAATGACGGGGTGTGCAGGTGCACTGCCAGTCGGCTCAAAGCACGTGGCAGCGTCGCACGTGTGCACAGCGCGCAGCATCACGGCCGCTGTTCCACTCGACGGTGGCGCGGTGGCGGCTGCGGCTGCGGTGGCGGTGAAGCAGGAGTCGAATGCGGCCGTGACGGCAGCACCGGTAATGGCGCTGATGCAGCTGGTGTCCGTGAAGAAACGCCACTGCAGGCTGCCGTCTGCCCAGTCTGGCCGCACACTCGCAAACGACGCGTGCAGCGCGCTTGTTGGTGGCAGCGGCTGGCATTGCTCGGGGACATAGCGGTGGCAGACGGTCGGCCCACCTGCGCTGCAGCGGGGGCGTGTACCGTACTCGCACAGCAGCACGGTTGGTGGGATTGGCGGTGGTAGTGCAGTTGCAGCTGTGGTGAGACGCGGGCCGTGCCCAGGCAGCACCGTGTCTGTGACCGCCTCCCAGTCCGCCAGAAGATCAACAGTCGGTGGCAGCGCAGTAGCTGTGGATGACAACGGTGATGAAGCTGTTGTCGTCGTGGATGCGAGCCATTCCGGGAGTGCAAGTGACACGGCCACGCCGGGGAGGTTACGTGTGGGCGGTGATAAGGCAGCAACCCAGGTGGTGCCTGCGGTGATGGAGGCGTTGGTTGGATGTGTGGTGATGGCGTTGACGGCGACCGGTGTGGTTGCAGTCGCATCACCCGTGAACACGCTCGAGGGGGCAAGCGTCAGGCTGAGGGACGCAGCTGCCGGCGATGATGGCGATGATGGCGATGATGACGTGAGGACATGCGGCGGGGTGTAGTGGATGCGG